GGGTGGGGAACTCAGGGATACTGAACGATGCTATATTAGAATAGACGATCATCTGCTATCATATGAATCATATGCTATGATGCTGATGCACAAAATGTACGATACCCGCTATACAGAAGATCGAGGGTCTAAGGTTTGCAGGGTTGGGATTAGGGTCTACATCTGGTACAGGACCTTTCTCTCCAGGAACCAGTCACCGGGCTGCCTCCACGAATCTGTGAAGAACTGGTGGCGCTGATTGTATCCTGCATCGGTCATTGCAACAATAAAAATAAAAGAATCAAAGTAATATCGACAGTCGTAGTAATAAGCATCGTAGTGCAACCCGGCTGCTCTTTGTCAGAGGAATTCCTCAAGCCAGGGCCCTGCTTTCATGTTGGGCTTTGCCTCAGCGTCTGTGTTGAAGGGTTTAGGGTTTAGGCTTCAGGGTTTAGGGTTTGGGGTTTAGGGGCCTTCTTTCAAGAGCCCGGCCCGGAGTCCCTGAACCCTGGAGGCCCGGAGTCCCAGGTGGACCCGAAATCCTCAGAAGCGCCGAGGCCTTGGCATAACCCGCCTGCGCTACGCCGCTTCCGCGAGATGGGTCAGGCCGATGTGCACCGGGGCGTACGAAGCTCTCGACCGCTTGACCCAGAGAGAACCAAGTCGCATGGTACCTGGGATCTAGATGGCTCTGCAGCAGACCCTCTACCGTCCGATGCCCTCAACTACACACATCTCTTGGGCAGCAGGCGGTGTCCAAGAAGCTCCAGCTGCTGGCCCAGACGAGGGCCCGCCCGGCTCCCAAGCAGGAGCCAATGGGAGACCGCTTCGTTTTGCGCCTTTCGGGTTTCGGTTTCGGGTTTGCGCAGAGGGGCTGGGCAAGCCCTTTGGTCAGATGCTGATGCTGTCTCTGCTCCGTTGCGAGTTTAAGATATCGAGCACTTCCAAAAGCGAGAGCCGTTTTGGCAGTAGTAGTCGTCGTCGTTATGGTGGTAGGAGGACGAGGAGGAGGAGGAGGAGGAGGAGACCAACGGCAACAGCAACTACACCAGAAGCAACATTTACCTCTATACGACGACGATAACGACGACGACGACTACGACGACCGGCTGGTAGTTATGGTGCAGCAGGCCAGGCACCGTGACTCCTCCTCCTCCTCCTCGTCCACTACTTCTGCTTCTGCCTCTACTTCTATTTTTACGTCTACCACTACTACTACTACTACTACTACTACTACTACTACTGCCACTGCCACTACCACTACCACTACCACTACCACTACCACTACCACTACCACTACCACTACCACTACCACTACCACAACCACGACGACGACTATTTCTACTTCTACGTGTCCTACTCCTACTTGTAATGAGGTTGCAATACGTCAGTCGCTTTCCACAGGTAGCATGTTGAACGGAGAAGGTCCGCTCCCCTCGCCCCCTCAACCACAGTGTGCTGGCAGGAAGGATCTCTTGGCGCCCCGGCGCCAAGTATGGCGGCCCGCAGCTCAGAGGGCGACAGCGTTGGACCAGAGATTCCTGGGGGACGTTAGTCTCTGGCTGAGAGGCTTCTCCTTCGAAGGATGGGATTCCCTGTGCTTACCTGCGTTGCTTGATCCTTCAATAGCTGAATCGTGTGCCACTATCCTCATTGACCCCTAAAAGGCCGAACTAGCTAGATCACGACGGGCATGAAGAGCTGCTTGTTCGGGAGTAGGTTCAAGTTCAAGGTTTCAGGTGCACATCAGCAGTGTCCTCGGACCACAGCCCTCCTTCGCCCTCATGAAGCATCGCCTCAGCAGGCGCCTTCTCCGGGCAATCCCTTCGGATCGGCGCCGGCGCGAGGTCGCGGCATGGTGTCAGTTTGTTCATTCAAAGCAGGCTGTTGTGACAAAAGGGTTCCTGCAACGCCGCCTGCAGCGGTCGTCAAGAGGACTTCAGGTGTTGCACACAAGGAAGGCCATCTTGTCATCGTCCCCACAAGACAAGGGCCCCAACCCCCACAGCCTGTCATGCACTCACCTCCCCAGTGGCTTAACAGGTCGGGACCACCGCTACACCGTCGAGGAGGCCAGATCGAGAAAGTGCTGTGACAATCAACCAACAGTTTATGTCGAGGTGCCTATCTTGCTTCACCGGCCTGGGAGGAGTAGGATCTCCATTACCCGCCTCTGGAGCCCTGCACACCCCCAGACCACCGTGAACCATAGGTTTGACATCCAGAAGCCCAGAGCTGATAGCTTGCAAGGCTTTGAACTTGCTCTGTGAGAAGAAGGCCGGGCCAGCAAAATCTCGCGGAGATGACCCCTGAACCCGACATGCAAAATCCTGAACCTCAAAACCCCAAACCCGAAATTCGGAATCCCTAAATCGGCCCGGAGCCGCAAACCTAAACCCTGAACCCACCTACAACCCTAAACCTTGCAGGAAGCCAGGATTTCGCATATACAGAGCTAACGTAAATCTGCAAGGGACATAAGATTCTAGGGGCATGGGAAGTTTGCAATAATCGTTTCTGCTCAATCCCTTACTTGCTAGATGTTGAAGCCACTCTGTCTCTCCCTACGCCTAATAAGCCAGCCTCGACATGCCTGGCTGAAGCAGAACCACCTGTTTGTCTGTCTTGCTCTCTCTCTCCGTTAGTGACGCCCCACATCACAGGAGCCGATCTGGAAGGGCTCGCTCATTGGTGTGGTGCACGCGGCAGGCGGCCTTTTCCATGCTGTTGCTGCATGACAGAATCCTCTCCAGAGCTGCCCTAAACCCTAAACCCTAAACCCGAAACCCATCCAGACCGTCCAAGGCTAGGGTCCCTGAAAGATCCTGACAGGTGTGCAGGAGATGACAGCGATCAACTCCCACTTGCCGGGGAGGTTCGAGTTCGTGTACGCCCCGAAAGTCCAGGCTCACGGCCTCACAGCAACGGTTGGGTGGTTGTCAAAATTAGGGTCCCTTTTGGGATACCCTAAATAATAGGTGCCGTATTATAATAAGGACCCAAAAAGGGACCCTAATTTTGACAACCACCCGGTTGCAAGTTGAGGGAGAAAATCTGCATATTGAGGCTCCAGGTCTTCAGCTTGCTGTGTGGTCAATATTCAATCTGAAGGACTGAAGGGGAGAGGTGCAGCTTGCGCACGTACGACTTTCTGCAACTTTGACTTACATGAGCACCGAGGCTTCATGTTCCCCAGTGTTGCGTTTTAGTTGAACTTTTCGCCTATGCGCCTGCAAAATGTACACTCTCTTGTTCGCGGTTGGCTTTCTTCCTACTGAGTAGGCAGAAAGGCAGCCTTTCTGCCTGAAAGGCAGGCATAACGCCCCCGAAGCGGCTTTCGTTACATGCTTAAGCAGAGTTCTTATTCATGAACTTAACCATTCGGGTTATTATGTATGTAACCAATAGTGAGAATGGTATCTCAACTATAACTTGCATCAACTTCCTAAACCAGCACCCGGTAGTTGGTTAGTAGTGGAATCGAACTCACAGAGACACACCTGCATGCAGTACCCAGACGAACCTGTCTGGACACCTGAACCTCTTGCAGATCTTTTCTGCCAGGCCGCGTGGAACCTGCATCAGAACTCAGCGATGATTTAGACGCAGGCCAGCGGGCACTGGTCTGTGCAGTCAAGCAAGATTGCAATCTCGGCAGCTGGTGGCGACTAAAAGAGTCGCACAATGTGCAGATGCACGCGTCGAACGGTCTTCACGAGTCTTCACGGATTTGATGAGAAAGCCTCAATATTCCGGAACCGAGCTTATAGCCTGCAGAACTCGAAGCCTCTTCTGATTGCGAGGCTGGCGGCAGTGAGACGGATGGAGGCACACCTCTTCCTTAGCTGGAAATCGATAGGAACCGGTAGGAGTAGGATGGAACGATGGGTTCTAGAACCACTTCCACTACTGAACCGCGCTCGCAAGTCAATCTTCAGCCTGACCCCTGTAAGCTGCTGACATGACAGCTGGTATGCATGCTACAAACTCATAAGCGACGCGTACATAAATGCAGAAAGGTACATCAACAGTACAGCCTCTTAGTGTCGAAGTCACGAAGACCCATCCCAAGCAGCGGTTGAGAGGAGGGTCCTGCGTGAAAGTGGAGCTCTCTCGCTCTGAAGATTCCAAAAAGGAGCGCCGGGGTTTAGGGTTTAGGGCACCCTTACACCAAACCACCTAAAGTTCCTGAATCTTTTGAACTACATACTAGACGAAGCCTTGAGCCTGAGGCACTAGGATTGTGTTCAAGAGGCAAGGGGGGGGAGGCCCAGCAGAAGGGTTTGTGGTATACGTATTCAGGCTCACTCCTGGCAGGGCACCAACAACGGGGTGAGGCTTCCCCGCTAGGTAATATAAGTCTGTAGATCTATTCGACCATCCTTGTTCAGACCCTATGTTACCCATATTCTCCATTGTAGTCCCTTTTTTGGATTTAACCAATTCTATATTTAGGATCCTATAAGGTAACCCCAAAAAGAAACTACAATGGAGACTATACCTCCGGGACAGGTGACGGAAGGAAGCCCGCCCCTGCTCAGGCTGCAGTTCGTCAGGGGAATGTCGGAAAGGACGCGTTTGTCACAGAAAGCCCCCGGCGCCGTGAATCGTCAGCTCAGATTCCGCACACCTTAGGCCTTGCACAGAAGGGTAGGGTAAATCCGGGAACAAAGTATGCATGAGGACACCACGCTCTCAGCCTCCTGCGAACACGGTACACAGGCTGACCCGATAATGAGAGCGACAGTTGTGTCGAATCATGGCATGTTATACTCAAACCAGAGCCGGATCACCATGATAGCAACGACAGAAGAAGATGACAAGAGCCAAGCGCAATGCTCCCGATCAGCAACAAACCCCATCTAAACCCCGAAACGCTATAAATCAATTGAAATCTTGCTGTAACCGTCCTTCAGCCCTCTGGAACCGTATCAACTAGGAAACATGTAACATGCCCACCAAACCCCATCAAACCCTGCAGAAACCTTGCAAAAAGCTGCAGAACCCTCACAAAAGCCCAGGCAGAGCGCGGCACGGGAGTTGGCGAAGCCGATGCGCGCTGCCAAGTCGCGAGTTTTGTCTTGGGAGGGTTGCTCAGGGCCTTTGGGAAAGCCTGATCTGGGCTGTTGTACACCAAAAAGTGGGGTAGTTGCGGAGAAGTGGTTGATGTTCCCGCGGCCGGGACGTGGCTCCCACTGCGGCGTGGTGCTTTTGTTGGGCGCATGTCTCACTCGAAATATCTGGATCCAGAGAGTACATGGTGGGGGGTATGCTGCCGGCACATGTGGAAACATATTGGCCGTGATCTTCAATCCTTGGTGGCATCCTTCTCCTCCCAAGTTCCTGGTGGTCTCTGTGGGTGCTCTCCTCTGGGATCTCGTGCTGGTCTCTGACAGTCTCTCGATGGTCGTTTAGGCTTCTCATGGTGGTGGCTTCGTGGTCTCCTGGTGGTTGTGGTGGTCTTGGTCGTAGTGCTCGCCCCTCTCGAGGCCCCGCGCAAATGCAAGAGCTGCGTGCGGGGCGCACCCGAGTGCGTGCGAGTTTACAACATTTTTTTGGTGTAGGGTTTTCAGGGTTTGCTGTTAATGTCGGCGAGGTTGGGTTCAGGTTCCACTGGTTTCACTGGTCCGGAAAGATTTCAATATTTCGGTGTTGCGTTCTTGGGGCTATGTCTTCCAAGCCGGCAGCGTCGGACTCCATAAGCGACGGAGCCTTTGGTTTAAAGGAAAACCCATACCCCCCCAAAGGCCCCACATAGTTCACTCAAACAGAACGCTCGAGGTGGCCGCCGTGGTTGCCAAGGCTAAGGCGCTCATGGAAGCAAAGGCGACAGACGTAGAGGCCCGGCGCTTTTTTTTTTTGGGGGGGGGTTAGGTGGTTTAAAGCAGTTTCGGTCTAGGGTTCAGAGTTCAGAGTTCATACAGGGTTAGGGTTGCGGATTTCGGTTTTCAGACTATCAAAGGAAGCGATTCCGAGCCAGCCCTGCTTTCGAGGGTTTCAGCAAACTGGAAGCCCGCGTATCATGAATCCTACGAACTTGTTCAGGGACACCTTCGGCTTCTCTAGACTCTAGATCAACTCTATAGGTGGAGCTCGAAGGAGACTCACCATGGTGCGCTTGGTCATTAGTGAGGATGGAGGTGTTCATTATGACTCGCCGTCAGATCTCTGACAAAAGCAGCCCGCTCTGGAAACGGTGTGGCTTGTAGCATGCACGCCTAAAGGAGACTTCGATCTCCCTTAAGCTCGGCTCCCTTGCTTGGTTGGGATCCCCATTGATTAAGATTCCTTGGACTTGTTCTTTGATTCATACGTACAGCGTTTGGCAGTCTTTGACGAGTGTGCCCCAAACCCTCAAGCCCAAACCTGGAAGTCAAGTCTTAAAACCTAATCCCCAACCCAAAATCCCTAAACCTAAGCCCCTAAACCGAACCCTAAACCCTAAACCCTAAACCCTAAACCCTAAACCCTAAAACCCTACCCTAGAACCCTAAACCCTAAACCCTGCGGATGTCCGGATGTCCTTGGCATTTCGCAGGCAGACATCGACGATGGCTTTGCGACCAAGGCCTGCTCTGCTCGACCCGTTTACACTCTGTGTGTCTGTGCGTCAGACCGTCTGTGTGTGCTCTCTCTCTCTCTATAATATATATATATATATGTATAATAAAAATAGATAGATAGATAGATAGATAGATAGATAGATAGCATGAAGTGATATGGTGTTGTGATGTTATGTTGTAATCTAGCATCATTTGTATGGGTCACATACTACGAAAGGACTCAGATGGTACCAAGCAGCAGTGTTTGTCTCTTTCCCTGTCAGTTCCTGCGACACTTCCACACGCCGCTGCAGCCCTTTGCCGCATTCCTCGGTGGCATTTGTGCACAAGAGGCCACATCGTCTGAGAGTTTAGGATGCGTTTTTCTGTGCTTAGGAAGACACGATGGGGGGCTGCTGCCTTTAGGATTATCAGAGGCTTTGCAGGTTCAAGGCCGTGACATCTCCTCGATCGTCGTGGACGCCCGCTTTCGTACCATGTGAACAGCTGCAACAGTTATGAGTGCGTTATATTTTTCCTATAATTTGCCCAGAGACCCTATTCTGCTCAGGAAGCCTCTGCAGTATGTCTTGCGTCTGTCCAGGTCGTGAAGGTAGCGGGCAAATTCACGCCCATTCCCGGCTGGCTGCACTTCAACGCCGTGGAGGCCCGGCACTCACCTCTCTCTCTCTGTAGGTCGAGACGGAGTTTGAAACCCATCAGCCCTCATCACTCATAGGTCTACATGAGATGATACTGGCGAAGGTCAGGCATGAAAAAGCTTTAGCACGATGACCCTCGTCCCCAGACGCACGTCCCCAAGCAAGCAGCGATTAATCGTGAAGCCTTTAGTAGCGCAGCCCCAAACATCTCAAAGCGGCAACTCGAAATCCTTGAGGCTTTGGTCTCAAGCTAGTTGTAGTTCAAGTATCAATAGCAACCACAGACAACCAAAGCCCCTGCCACTGCTGCGACTGCAACGGCAACATCCGCATCGATGGCCATAACCACAACCCGAACCGCCTCACAACAACGGGACTTTGCTAATTTCAGGCGCTCCCCGACTCCCCACCGGCGGATGCTGCACCGCAGGGCAGCAGGTGCCGAGATGCAGCTTTCCCGTGCGGGCGAGACATCTGAGAGGTTTAGGGTTTAGGGTCTAGAGTCTGGGTCTCTGAAGCGCTCGCCCTTTGCTCTTCTTGTCCATCCCAGCCCCGCCCCCTTCCGCACTCCTTGTTATCTATACTTGGGTAAATATGTACATACATCTACATAGTCTACATTCATCATTGTACGGGTACGGACTGTACAGGTACGGACACACACAGACACAAAAGTATACATATATTTTATACATATATGCATATACAAACATGCATACATACATGCGCACCCATACCCGAGCGCTGCATAGCGTCATTATTAAGTTTCAACATGGCGATCACGTCGACAGGGGCAACTGTGTCCTGTCGTTTCAAGGGCTGCAACGCACATTACATGGAGTTCCCTTCAGGTTTGTTTTCTTGTATGCAGAATGCTCATGCCGAACATGCTGAGTCGTTGTTTCGGACCCAATGCTCTTGGGTTATCCGTGGCTCCGGGTGTACCCAAGTATGCTTTGCAGTGTCGATTAAGGCCTGGTGCAAGGCGGGTTGGGATGGTTGGGTGTTGCAGTCGCAACTGTGGTCAGGCTTCACATCTTTGGTTGATTGCTCTGCAACACATTACGAGGAAAGGTCTGCAGTGCAAGTTGTGAGGTTGTCGAAAGCTCCTGGCGAGATCATGTCTTCAGGATGAAGACTATGGGTCCTCCTCTCCTCCAAAGCGTCGTTTAGGTCAAATTGTATGTGGGGAATTCGAAAACCGTTTGCAAGCTTTCCTGGAAAGTTGCTGCTTGCAGGTACGATTCTCTGGCCGCCGTCTACGGCCACGGTTTCGTGAAGAAGCTGCAGAACCTGAAGCGCCGGCCTCAGCAAGCGAACCTTCGTCAGATCAAGGCACTGCTATGCACCGCTTTCTCTTGCCAGGTACTTCATGGTTGGCTGTGGCGCACTTGGGTGCGAGCCGAGTGCTTACTGAACCCATCCTTCGCAGTGCCATGCATGAAGACTTCTCCACCTCATCGCCACCTCGAAGAAGCCCGAGTCAATCGTCCTGATTCGGAGCCATTGGCCCGAGGTAGACGTGCATCGACCCAAGTCTCATACCTAACACGGGCTGTAACTGGAGTTCTCCGGAAACATGGCCCATGCGTGTAGCCAGAGCTGCAGCACTTCATGCTTGCCACTCTGCAGTATCGGCTTATACATTATATTATATATTAGATGATGTTTTATATTATATATTATATTATTTTGCGTTATATTCTATTATTCTATTATATATTAAATTAGCATCTATCTTATATTTCTAAATTGCTGCAGCACAGAGTCCCTCGCCTTCGTTTGCTTTCCATCATGCAAAACCACACGCGGTACAGAAGCGGGACAGTACCATGACAAGAGGAGCCTGCGTGGGTATTATATAGGGGCCTTCATAATTAGAACATATAGGGTTTTGGGGCCCATTATATGTATCATTATACTAAGGGACCCCTAAAATATTATTGGTTATTATTTAGGCCCCTACATTATGCAACAACAGGTATATACAGCCACAGCAATGCCGGACAGGCAGGAGCCCAGAAACCGCAACCCCTGAAGATCGGTGCACCCACAGCCCAACGCAGAATGTGAACCTGAACGTTATAAACCCTAGACCAGGCACCCCTTAGCCTTAAACCCGCTGCTGTGACTTGCCTTCAAACTTCAATTCTTGCTTAAAGTCTTCCTGATAACCCATACAAGCCCAAACCCTGAACCTCCGAAGCCGTCAACTCTTATATATAAGGCCCTGTAGATTAAGGCCCTGTAGATTCAAAGGTTCCTCAAGAACTTCGCACTGAACGGCGTGTGCTGCGGCCCTGACGGCTTGCTCACGGCACGCCCTGCGAGAGTTGAGGTTTGGGTTAGTTGTTTTTGTCCAAGTCAAGAGGAATCAGATTTTGTTGGTGCATGTCTTTGGGGCTTAGGTTTAGGTGGCATGGTTGTTGAACTTGCAGAGGATTATTTTCTTCGCGCTATTGCAGAAGTCAAGACTTTACGCTTGCAGGCTAGCAGGGCATTTGCACCGGAGTTTAACGTTTATTCTTGAGCTTCTGATTCGATTGACCAGCTTTGCCGTGAACTAGGCCTAAACTGCCAGAATCCCGAGACCGCTGGGTCAGGGGGTCATAAGCATTCAAGAAACAACCAGAATAGCTCGGTTTCGGGCTTGGGCTGCTGTTGCTCCCAATTGTCCAGGTTACGGATGCAGACCGCATCGAGCTCTCGAATCTGACGCGCCAGCCAATGCCCCGGCCGGTCGAAGCTAGCGGGAGATACGGGCAACATCATATGAGAATAGGATCAACCATATTTCGCACGTCGGTACATATGCATACATGTGGTCTATTTGTCACATCATAATTATGATCTGGGGTTAGCTCGTTGCTCCTGCTGCTGCGACGGTCGGGCTTGATCTCCTGACTAGTCTTGTCTCTCCGACTCGCTAATCGCGCAATTATGAGTTAATGTTTGAACGGCGCCGTTGCTGCTGCTGATGACGGTGATGATGTTTTGAAATGTGTGGCATGTACGTTCTCGTGTTTGCTGCGCGCCCCACTGTTTAGTACAGACTGGGGAGTCGAGCACAGAGGTTTGCTAGCAACGTTTGGGCTGTCATGGTCGGAGCTTTCGCTTGTCCGATAGCTTGACTGGTCCGTCTCAGCTTCTACGCAGCAAAAACCCGAAGCATCTGACGAAAGCTCCGTCTCAGTTCTGCTCATTCCCAGGTTCCTCTTCCGGGAGCACAACGTTGGACAGCCAAAGAGCAAGGCAGCGACTGCCATGGCCCAGGCACTCCATGAGGGCGGTTTGCACTGCGGATGCAAAATCCGGCATTTCCTGAAGTGATGGAACCATGGGTAAAGTTGAGGAATGCCTTTTCGAGCTCTCCGGACTCCGGACTGAGAGACATTGCACCTGTCGCAGGTGATGAACCCCGGCATGAAGGCTGGGGTCTCAGATGTCCTCTGGCCCGGCATGGTAAAGGTGGGCTGCGCCGGCGACGCCACACATTGCTGAAGATGGCGTCACTTTCACACCACAAGCGCTTCTGCAGAGAGGAGTTTTTTCAGGAAAAGACTTCAATCGCAGCAAGTGTGACCTTGCAAGAGAGACAGTGTAGCTACTCCTACACAGGACAGCTTTCCTGGTTCCATGTGGGCAGATGTCAGGTGCGGGCTCTCGAGATGTTCGTCGGGCCGAAGACAGAGGAGACGGTTTTGCTATTGATCGCTTACTTTTTCCACAGTGCTAGGGCAGCAGGGCGTATGTTGCGTATGTTGCCGGAATGTGCGGGACAAGCCCAGGACACAGTAGACGAACAATGAAGCCGCCATCGGAGCTCTCAAGACTGACAAACACGCTAGAGTGTACGATAACAGGCTCGGTTTTGGTTGCAGAGCCCGTGTTTCACATGACGCGCAGACTGGCAGACCAAACAACCAGCATGCAAGGCAGGTCCTTGACCAGAGAACATGCTGCGTGTCGGCACTTCATACCGGTGCCGTGTGAAGACTTGACACATGCCGCCTCCACCCCAACCTCCCACCCACTCCTTACTCCGGCGAGTCGGGTTCTTCCAGCTCCTGAATGAAGGATAGCTTCAACGACGAGTTCTGGATGTCCCTGGACGGAGTCTGCAATGCGCTGGACAACATGGAGGCAAGGAACATGTCGGTCAGACCTTCGACTGGCGGGCATGTCCAGGTCCCCTGAAGGTCCCTGGTGCTACTTGTGAAGCTCGCCGCATTATGTTCCTCTGTGGCACTGTGAGCTATCACAGGTAGGTGCAGGCAGCAAACACAACCGATTTGCCCCTAAGTCCAGCTTGTTGATTCTCGACTCCAGCCAGAAGACTTGGATTCGGAGGGGCCCTGTAAAGACCGCTCATCACAACTATATACAGATACCGTATATTGTCATTGCTGTTGTTTTTGGCTTTTTCACGACTGGCATTGCTGTCATTTCACTTGTTCACCAGCTTCTGATTGTTAGTATTACATCCTATATTTGTAACCGTATAGTTCCCCTGATCCTCGAAGTACAAGCCGAAACTCGAAAGAGGCCCGGTTCTATGTGGACGATCAGTGCGTCAAGTACGAGAAGCCTCTCTTGGAGAGCGGCTTCTCGGCCGAGCAGACACACATTGACATCAAGCGTGGTCTGTCTTGGCACCTTCCTTTCTTGTTTTGTTGCTTCTCTAAGTAATAACAATGCAGGCTTGTCAATACTTATATGACATTTAGGCAGATACTGTAGGTCGACGACGGCTAGACCGTCACAGGGGTCGATTGACAGTTAGAGCGGCTGTCCCAGACTTGACTCTCGCACAACAGTCCCAAAATGTCGAACGCCTTGACGTTTCATATATCGAAGGGACAATGGGGCCGGCTGGCAACGTCGATCCCGTGGTCCCCTTCAAGACGCAGACGTGCGCTGTTTGTGTGTGTGTGTGTGTTTGGATGAGTGAGCTGCAACTGCACGAGTGAGAACAGCTGCGCATCAGGTACAAAGATGGTGGACAAGCTGATGAGGGTGGAGGTATCCCCATGTACCTGCCCCAGACGAGAGTGTAGTCGCGAGCAGTGGCACTCCTCTCGTGTGCATTCTCTCGGCCCGCAGCACCCGAGGTGCACGTTGCGGAACTTCCCACATCTGCCCGACCACTGTATCGAATGGGTGCGCTCAGCGACATGCTGCAGTCTGGGTTGGCGGTCGACGGGGCTGCAAGTGGAACTTGCATTCACAGGCAATTGTAGTTTCGGCTTTCTGAGTGCATACGTGCCACCTCTCGACACCGTCGCGCCAGGCCAGAGACCAGTTTGAGCTCTTCTTCGTGAAGTCCGTGAAGCAGCTCAAGAAGTTTCACGAGGAGCCCTGGTATGGGCCCTTAAACTCTGCGAGCATTATCACGAACGTGACACGCTATATATCAATATTTCAGTTATATATGTACATATACATATACATATATATATATATACATATATATATATATATACATATATATATATACACATATATATATACACATATATATACATATAATATATAAGATACAGTAACATACACATTTGCATATGTATATATATATATAGATATACAGATACATTCACATGTAAAAAACGAAGCCTTAGATACAAAGCAGACAGCCGTCACAGACAGCCAGGACCCGACGGCTTTCATTTCGGAGATTGGCACCAGCACGGATCTGACCCAGTCCATCTTCGAGGTTTGCAGGTTTAGGGTTAAGGGTTTAGGGGTTTAGGGTTTAGGGTTTAGGGGTTTAGGGTTCAAGGGTTTAGGGTTTAGGGTTTAGGGTTGGCTCCTTGTAGAGACCGGCGCAGAACGGCGCAGAGGGCCCTTAAACCCCAAGAACGAGGGTTCAGGGCTCTGGGTTTGCTGTGTCTGCGGTCCATGCCTAAGCCTTGTGAGGTTTGGGGTAGGCTGCCCACAGGGCTTCGGGTGTTCAAAGAGGTGCTCGTAATGCATTTACACGACACAAGTTTACAACCGAAACGTTGCATGAATTCTGCGCCTGAGGCACGAAGGGTCCGTCCCCTAAGCCCTACAGTCAGAGTCCCGAGGCCCTACCTAGACTCCAAGATCTGAAAGCGCCTGTGCCAAGACCACCCACAGCAGGCATTTGTAGGCTTCTGCTTGAAGGTACTTAGAAGATGTTTTACCTAGTAGATGGTCGTCAAGGGATGTGTCTAACGTCCTAGGCTCGAAACCCGCCACGAATGCAAGTTGCTGCATCTACAGACCCGGAACTTGCCGAGTCTCTCAGGACATATGAAGCGTCGTAAGCCTGAACCAACTCCCTGAACTCAACCAAAAAGCACCCAAACCCTTGAGGCCATAAAACCAAACCGCACCATCTCCAGTGCACACCGTCAAGTCATGCACGAAGCCTTGAACTTCGGGAGGTTCGCGGCCTCCTGTCCTTGCTGACGGCCGCAGCAGCGCCCAGCGTTCGCAGCGCCGGCCAGAGCGCCTTCGGCCGGGCCAAGGGTCGTAGGATGTATATGTATATATATATATACATATATATAGAGAGAGAGATAGAGAGAGAGAGAGATGTATATGTTTTTGATTCTAGTATGTTTGCGATGACTACGATACATTAATTGCTATTCCTGGCACGTTTACTACTATTGTCAATTACTGTTGAACTCAGGCTCAGGGGCTCTGTAAAGGGCTTCGACATGGGCTTTATAAGATTATATAAGCGGCTATGTAGGCTTGTATGGGGAGTTCCAAGAATATCAGAGGTACCTTATGCAGGGGTTCCGCTGGCATCAAAAATCTTGTTTTGTTGAGGTTTGTCTTATGCTCCTTGGTTGTATTCGGATATTGCTCTTTAAGATTTGGTTTTCAATATTCTTTTTTAAAATAGTATTATTGCTATTATTACTATCATTAGTTTATTGCTGGAAATGTCATTACTCGCATTTTCCTTGTTCTTCTTTAAGCTTTATGGCAAGGCTTGAGAAGTGGAGAGACTCCGAGGAGCCAGTACACCCCAGGAGCAGCAGGAGCATGCTTGAAGGCTACACAATCATGTATGATACTGTATGTATAGTGCCATACTGTAGTGTACATCATAAGAGTATAGACAGCTATGCCCACCATAGTCGTATATACCATATCAAACCTACATCGCGTGATCTCTCTCTAAACCCTGAACCCTAAACCCCTAAACCCTTAAACCCTAAACCCTAAACCCCTAAACCCTAAACCCCTAAACCCTAAACCCTAAACCCCTAAACACCTAAACCCCTAAACCCCCGAAACCCCTAAACCCTTGCAGATTTCTTCCACCTCCTCTTCCGGGATAAGATCCTGGATCTCACTGCTGCCTTTCCGGCAACTGCCCGGATCATCGACCCCGAGACAAAGCAGGCCGATGAGCCGCCTTGTTTTGGGGTTTAGGGTTTAGGGTATCGCACTTTATAGGGTTTCTGTAGGGTTTTTTGTCGGACATTATAGGGTTTCTGTACGGTTTTTTATCGGACTTTATAGGGTTTCTGTAGGGTGCTTATCGGACTTTATAGGGTTTCTGTAGGGCTTTTTAAACGGAAGTTTGCTGATAGAGACTCCTCTTATGCGGCTGAATCTCTTGGAGCTTGGCGTTATGACTAGCACTGGCTGGTGTCAAGCACTTTGTATAAATTGCTCTAAGTTGATGTAGGCCTTACAGGGGAATCCAATGTCTATCGCGCTCCTAAACCCCAAACCTCCAACATCTTTATTCTCTGAACCCTAATCTCTTCAGTCGCTCTCGCGGCAACAGGGCCTCCGGGACCTTAGCGTGAAGAGATGTGTTTTTTTGAAATCCGGCGACCGCAAGAGGGGTTTTCGGTCTAGGTTTAGGCGGTTGGCAACGACAGAGACTGCAGGGATCGCGGTTTCAGGCTTTCGGGTTATAGGGGTTCGAGATTAGGCCCAATCCCCTTACATCTGGGTAGTTCTCTAAATCAGGGGTCCTTTTTGTAAGGGTGCCGTACTAGATTGGGGACCTAAAAGGGGACCCGAATTTAGAGAACTACCCATGCGGAACGTGTGTCGTTCCTTGCACACCTCCGAATAGATCTTATACGACCACTGCATCGCGACCGAAGGCAAGCCTCAAAAGCCCAAGCTTCTAAGGTTGGGCAGGTTAGCCGTTGAGCCAACCCTAAATGAAACTCGAAACCCTAAACTAAACTCCAAACCCCTAAACTCCTAAATCCGAAAAACCCTAAACCACTAAGTTCCCGACGCCAGATTCCCACTCCCTTCCTTCCCTCGGCCCCTGAAGGACAAGGGCGCCTTCTGGTCGGGTCACAAAAGGCCTGGCTTGGAGTTACGGGGAAAAAGGCTTAGAGGTTTTTTGCCGGGAAGTTCATGTAAGCTGCCAAAGTAAGGGAAATATTGTAGTTCATCGATAATAGGGAAATCCGCAAAAGCAACTGAAGCACTAAGGTCCCTAGCAAAACCTAGGCTGAAATCTCTTTGGCTCAGCCTGTTGGGGCCGTCAAGGTGCCCCAGAGTTACAAGGATAGGTCGGATAGGTGGTTTCAGGCTTACGTGTGCTCTTGGCAGCGACTCATGAGCCGAAACTTAGATATCTGACATCAAAAGTCAGTATAGGTTTTCCCCAAAGCATAGCAGAGCCAAGATAATCGTCCACAACAGCAATAATGGTGATGATACTGGTAGCAACGTGTGAGTGGGCATGCGTTCTTGTCCTCCATGGCTTGGAGGTTTCCGCAGGCCACCACTTACGACCCCGAGAACGAGACGCACTGGCGGTTTCTGGCGCCTTGCCTTCGAAACGTAGAGAACACGAACCCAGAACTCAAAGTCAAAGGCACAACTGCCTCTCTCTCGCTCTCGCTCTCGCTC